TGCAGCCTCTATGTAATAAGGTCAGTAGACCTCACCTTTATTTTGCTCTATCCCCATTCCCCACCCTTTAATCCCCCTTCTATAGTGTAATATGTATAATACCAAAACATATTGACCTTTTGGATTGATAGAAAATAAGGAGAAATAAAAAGTTGGGAGAAAGTTATTAACAAACTTTGTGAAATCCGTCAAGGACTTTCATTAGGCTGCATTTGGAAACAATGCAAATAATTGGGAATGCAAATATGTAGAGTGTAAAACGGTTCATACAAGGCTCAGTTTGGAAGCAGTATAAATGCAAATATGTACAGCGTAAATACATACAAAATAATACAAAATATAAGGTTTTGCACTCTACGTATTTGCATTTACCTTCTTATCAAACAGACTTTTAGTTGTAATGGATGCAAACATAAATTCCAATAAAGCATGTTTTTTTTTTATCAAAAGTCCACTTGAATGCAAATTTACTTATTTTTTATTGATGTACTTTTACATCTTATTATCAATATAAATATGTATTGATTTGTCATTTGTCAATGCATATATAAATGTAATGTTGCCAAACACAGGCTAAAGTGAACCGGAGTACAAATTTACCCTAAACAAGGATTTACACTCCATTTGCATTGTTTCCAAACACAGCATTAGGCTCAATTTGGAAAGAGTACAAATACAAATATATATAGTACAAATACATACAAAATAATACAAAATACAAGGTTTTGCACTCTCAAATTTGTATTTGTACTCCTTCCTTAGGCTCATTTCGGAAGGAGTACAAATACAAATATGTAGAGTGCAAAACCTTATATTTGTATTATCTTGTATGTATTTGTATTGTACATATTTTCATTTGTACTCTTTCCAAACCGARCCTAGGTTTTGGATTCTACATATTTGTATTTGTACTCTTTTCAAACTGAACCTCAACTTTYTGTATCTCTCTTATTTTTGTCAAACCAAACACAACCAAAGGTCCTTTCAAGGGTAGACAAAGAGCATGTACTATGTAGGTGTGAAAGTAAGTATTAATCATATATGATATCTGGTATTTTGATTTAATTTTTATAATATGTAGTGAAACTAGGGAAAGTACCCACTTTATATATTGTAAATAAATAAAATAAAATGAATTTAAAGAAATAGATGATTTTCCCTTTTGTTATAGGGATAAGCAAGGTTTAAAATTTCAATACGGTACGTCTGATACAGGGCGTATCGTATCATATCTTTGAAAAACCGATACAGAATACGTATGAAAATTGGACGTTTCTTCTTTTTTCATGCGTATCGAACTCATATCGGGGGTGTATCAGGTTTTTCTCATCCCATAAAACATTAAAACTTAAGAATTCTAATTTATAAATTATAGTTATGCATAGGATCTTTAATGAAATTATAATTAGCTATAATATATTTCTTCATAAAACCAATGAAATATATTAATTTAATGTATATACACCTCTTTGAGGTCTTCTATTTAGTGTTGTTGATATATTTTTATGATTTATTAAAGTATTTATAGAGTTTCCTAGTGTATCTATGCGTATCTTAGTTTTTCTCTGATACGCATGCGTATCCAATGCATATCCCGATACGTTTCTTGAAATTGTCTTTCCGATACATTTGACGTTTCCGATACTTTAAACCTTGGGGATAAGTAGACTGCACTCCACCTCAGAATTTTAAATTCCACTATAGATCTACAACAATTCAAAATTTCAAACACTTCCACCTAAACACCAATACCCACGCTTTGCATTAGCATCAATTCCGATCTGACACCTACCTCAACCGTAGAGGTAAGATTTGTGGGGGTGGACTAAAATTTTATATCGTTTAATTAAATAACTTTTTACTTTTCCTTTTTCTCTTTTTGATTTTCTTCTCACTCTCTCTTTTGTAAGCTTGTCTTAAATGTTAGTCTACTTCTAATAATACCACTATTTGCCGTTAAAGGTTGCCCATGACATTCTTTCCTTCTTTTCACAACAAAGTGAGCAAAGAATCAATTAAAATTCAGCTCCCAAACAACTTGCGAAATCTTATAAGTTATACTCAATAATTAACATAAATTATTCAATTATTAGAAGATAAGCAGCCATCAAATATGAAGGGTTGATATTTCACCAACCAATATTGATAAAGCCTTTTCCCCCAATTTTGGAAGGCCAAGTGGGAACCTTGGAAAATCACCAGAAATTCTCTCTTATCCTGTTATCCATCCATGGATAGTAGAAAGAGATGGGCTACAATGAGGGTGCCCTCTTTATAATTGCAATTAAGTGCCCCTCCTCAACCAAGGTTTAAAATATTGATCATGATATATAAATCGGGATTTTTTCTTCAAAGAGCCCTCCTCACATTTGACCTCACAGTACAAGTCAGCTGTATATTGAAAACATCTCCCGCCCTCGTAACTAATAATATATAATTATGGGAGATGTTTCCGATGTACAGCTAAGACATACTGTGAGGTTGGTATTAAGAGTGAGAACCGCTATGTGAGAAGCAGATCCGAACTCAATGAAATACCTTTTGAAGGATAATGMCCTTTCTAGAGATGCCATGGTTCATATTACACGTGCATATTGATACTATCAACCTTGCTCTCACCTAAAATATATATCACCTCACTGAAAAATCAGATAAATTTCAGCCATTTGGTTTGTGAATAACTTCTAGATTTTAGTAGCTACTCATTCACCATTAGATTTGATATCCAAAATTCTTACAAAAGAAGTGGTAACCAATCACGTGATATTTATCGGAATTCACATGGGGTGGTTGGTTTGAAAGCTATTTTGGTATCATGTCAGTATAAATTTTTCCTAGAAATAAATCTTATCTCTGACAATTGGGATTATATATTCATACATATATACATATATATACACCATTGTCTAATCGGCAGTTTTTTTTATAATATTTCATTTGCCACGTGTTATATACAAAGAAGAAGAACAGGTCCCACCATGAACGGGTCTGTTGAGACAATGGTGGAACTAGAACCACTTTGAACCATGTTTCAATTTTCATGGTAGGACGGACATGTTCAATGGCGGGTCTTAGAGATGTCAATGAGTTGGGTTTGGCTCAACCCGAACCCAATTTGAAGCATCGTTGACCCCAATCCTTGCTATCTTTCAGTCCATGGTGCACCTATCCCGATTAAGGATGAGTGAGGTTAATAGATTTAATATGAGTTCAATCCTATATACACATACATTTCAATGCTGTGATGTTAATAGATTTAATATGAGTTCCCTTTTGGCCAAACCCGATTAAGGATGACCCGACCCTAACCATATAGGATCGGGTCACACATGGGCTTACCACTTAACCCGATCCAGTGCCACCTCGGTCTCTCAATTCTTGTGGTCCCAGGCCGTTTTGCTGGTCTTTGTGGCTTCAAAGTTGAAATTTGTGGGTCTTTGTACAAAAGAAGGCAAGAACAGGTGGTGAAAATATAAGAATCTCTTCATGAGGAAGGGCATTTTTGTAAAGATAAAAAGTTCAGGCAAGACGAACACAGGGGCCATTTCATTTTCTTTTTTATTGGTGTCAAGCACGAAATGTTAGCCTCATCCCATCTCCCCCTCGCGGTACTGTGATTACCAAGGCACTCTTGCCACGTGGCAAAATCCTATTGATGAAGGAGAAACAAGGGATGCTAGTGACTTGGTATGTCAGTCACTGTCATTTACTCATTACCACCCCGGGATTCTCTTCTTCCTCTCCACACCACCACACACGCACACATCTTGCCTCTGTCTATGAAAATGACAATCAAGCATTCTAGGGAAAGGTATGCTCCAATCCATTGATAAAATAATGAAGCAAACAAAATAAACGGACAAACGATAAAGCCCCCTTAGATGGTTGATATTACCAAACTARGAAATGTCACCACTCAATTTCATTGATGTGTCCCACACGTGTCACATGTGTTACTTATTACTTACAAGAAGAAAATTATGAGGTGCATCCATGGTCCATTCGCCGGCCCAAAATGGTCTGGATCCACAAGTCTCATAAATTCAGAGAATCTGGACCGTTCCCATGAGATCCATACGATGGGAACCCCCTTCTGAGACTGCCAGTACCTGGGCAATAGTGATAATTGCTCCAATCACGTGACACGTGCAAATGGAAAAATATASAAGTCAACTAACACTGACCCGGCTTAAGTTAGGGCCAATTGACGGTCTGACCCGACTTCGAGTCTCTCAAAATCGATGATTGATCAGATCCTACCGTTAACGGGTCCTACCGAAGAAATTATTCGGAAGAAATCAAGTTGAAACATTGTTGCATTCACTTGGATGGCGAAAGGAAAATCCAACGGCTAAGAGCCAATCGATCATGTTGATTTCTACTGTAGACGATCTCTCGTCTTTAGAAGGGACATGGGAACGCGCCATGATGATGCTTGTGGGCCATATCAAATCAACGGTTGTCTGTAAATCCACCCTTAAAATTTAGACGGAATTGAGATTTTTTATTTTTCTAATTTCTTTTTGATGAGCAATGGAATTGGGAGTTGGGACCACCGACGTTGTCTCAAAAACGTATTCCTAGCCGTATTTTTATCCACCACAGTGGGCCCTCTTAGTCAGATCCAATTCAACGTACGATAGGAGTCTACTCAAGACTTAAGAGCAGTTTTGCTATAAATAACTCCAACAGGTGGTGTTCTTGTGGCAAGGCCAGTCCGTAGACACTGATTCCCTCGATTTTGATAAAGATCTTGTTGATTTGGGATTTGCGTACCTTTTTATTCTACTCCTCATTGTACATGATGATTCCTTCCTAATCCAACGGCTAAAAAACATGACAAGACTCCCATGCGGTTTTGTGAGGGGCAAACCTGTCACTACAACACTCGATGGCATCCCGGATATTTTAGCGAAACAGGAGGGTACTTGATTAATGCCTATCCTATAAATAAACCGACTACGCTTCCCTCATAGTCTCTCTTTTATTCTCTCCCACACTCCTGACCTCTCCCTCCTCTCTCTCAATCCTAGCTTTTCATTTCTCTCTCCTCACTTCTTTCGCACCCTGTTCTCTCTCTCTTGTCGAAAGTCGAAATAGACATCTCGAATCTCCCCGGCCTCACCATCTCGTTCCGCTCTCCGCTGCCCATCCACGGCGGCACCACCCCTAAAACCACCGCCCGTACCGTAAATCCGTCCAGGCCGTCGGTTCTGGCGTCGGACCTGCCGATCCGATTTCACCGCCCTCTCTTTGCCTTCCTGTCTGTCGCTTTCTCTCATTTTTGCTTCGAACATATTTTTCTTCTTTTTTATTTTTTATTATTTTCAGATTTACATTTTTAGCCTTACTTGTTAATGATATTTACTGGTCATAATAACCAAGCGGGCCTCCCATTCTCTCGTCTCTTGCTTACCCTTTAAAAAATTAAAATTCCTAGAGCTGAGGTGGCATGCTTTCCACAGAGCGATCCTCGAGTGCAATGTCGAACAACCACCACCACCACCCCCGTCGCGTTTTGACGCCCGGGGTGTCAAGGAAGCGTAAAGAGAGAGAGGGTTTTGACGCCCACGCCCTCAAAGTGTCAACCACGACAACGACGGCTTCCAAGGAAGAGCCGGCTTCGGCTAACAAGCTACTAGCCGGGTATCTGGCTCAGGAGTTCCTTAGAAAGGGGACACTTCTTGGTCAGAAGTGGGACCCGGCTCGGGCGGAGGCAACGCCCATCGAATCCAGAAAACCGAACCCGGGCATCCTGAACCACCACCACCATCAACAGAAGGCTGCAGAAGCCGCGGAGCTGAAGCCGCCGACGAGGAACGCAGCAGCATCGGTTAAGCATCCGAGCTACGACGACGTGGCGAGACTACTGAAGGCGGATGGGACCCATATCGCCGGTATTGTCAACCCGAAGCAGCTCGCAGAGTGGCTACAGATGCGAGGGACCAGAGGGGAGCAGGGTTAGGGATACACGTGGCGCACTTTCATTGGAACTGAATTCGTGGCTCATTACGTACGGACGCAAGCGTACGCTCTTTTTTTTTTTTTTTTTTTTGCGCATGTACGAGTCTCTCGAGGGAGAGTGGGAGGAGGGAGGAATTGTAGACTGGTAAGTGACCAGAGAATGAACCACACATGGCAGAGAAAGAGTGAACAAAACGTTTGAAGCGCTCTTTCTTTCTCTTATCTTCATTTCTTTTTTTTTTTTAGTTTTATTCTTTTTTGTTGTTTGTTCATTTCTCCTGTAGCTGTTCTGTTAACCTTGTAAAATTCCATGGACAACCCATCTTGAAGCAGATAGACGTAAAAGCTGGAATCCCTTTTTTTGTGTGTTTCATTTGATGTTTGTTTGCATGACAACAATGTCTTTTGAATCTTCACTGTTCTCTCTCTTTCTCTGTGTGTGGACTGAACCAGCAGATAGAGATGAATGAATGGATGAATATGGGTAGGGTTATATACTTATATGGAATGAAAAGATAGAGGTTGGAATGATAAAAGAAAGAACTGAAAAAGTAAGAAATGGACGATAAGAGCTAAGAAGGAAGAGACAGACACGTGCATGCCCATGCATGGATGTATATGATGATGTGTTTCATGTGAAAGTTGATGAGAATGAATCTTCGTCGTAGGCTCGTCCTCGTAGCTTTAATATATATTGCTGAAGTGATGGGCTGCGGAAACATGTGGATTTTCTGAAAAAACGCGCTTTCTGGGTTCTGTTTGGTTTGTTTTCTGGTTACTCCTCCTTCAGCCCTTCAAAAATCAGAATCAGAAATTACAGACAAGGGAGAAGAGAGACGTCCAAACGCGAAACGATGGTTTACGTGCACAACACAAAGCATTCCATTTCTGTCGTCGCGACAAATCGGTGGAGCAATTAATTTTTGAACACGAAGGGACATGAAGTGGGTGTGGGAAAGAGACGCTCTTTATTGGATGAAGAGTTCTCCTTCCAAGATTGATTCCTGATTCTTGAATACTTTTGCTTTTTTTACGTTTTTTTTTTGGAAAAGAAAGAATAATATGGGGGAACACAGGGATATGCCATGTATGCATGTAAAAGGTGGAAGGAGTGGAAGCCTGACAGCCAGTAAGTGTCACAAACCTGCAGGGTGGGACACATAGAGAGCAGCTATTGGTGCAACCAGCAGAGGCTTCTCTCATGAATTTCAGAGAGCATTCACATGCATGTTGAAATGTTTAATGCATGTTTGAATAATCCTTATCAACTTTTGTCATTAGTATTTTCTATCAAACCAAACACAGCATTAGTGGATACTGGATAGGGATTTATATGGTATTATAATTATTTGTTTATGTTTGAATATTTAGCTCCTCTTTGGGAGTGTTTAATGAATTAATAGGTGTTAAGTGCTTATCCTAATAACTGTTTAGGAGTGTCCGGTGATAAAGTGCTTCTTAGTGGTGTGTACAGGTATTTTGAAACTTATACAATGGGCTAAGTCAGACAAAAATGCAACCAAAAAAAAAAAGGCAAAATTTTGAGCTTATTCAAATATGCAAAAGATATGATATCTGAAAATTTTTTGACCAATCAATTGATATCATAAACATGATAACCAATCAGGTATTATTTATCAAAATTCATGGATGAGTTTTGATTGATCAAAACTTTGACACATCATAGATTTATCCTATTCAAAATGGGTTTATTTCCTAAGAAAGCACTTATACRGATTTATTTCCAAACTGCATATAAGTGCTTATTGGTGTGGTTCCAGCCTAAAATAAGCACCCCCAAACATGGGATTAGAGATTTCATTAAAATATCGGTTATTTTAATGTTCTATATTCTTTTCGGCATTGAATCCTTATAATAGCTTCTGTTAGGTGTAGTTAGGTCCAATGATATTTAACACAAAGAGAAATCCCTTGATCAGGACATCAAACTTCTCTTTCCAACCATAAACTCTTGTATGTTACACCCCATGTGGATCATTCTTTTATTGCCCCAAATAATTTTTCCTACCAAACCAACACTTTTCTCTTTTTTTTTCTGTCTAATTTTAAAAATTAGAGCTTTGATAATTAAAGAGACCATGTAGCCGGATTAGCTTTCTAGTTTAGTTTGATCGGGTGCCCATCTAATCCGCACCCCGATCAAATGCTTAGGCTTGTGGAAGGAGTAAAAATGCAAATATATAAAGCGCAAAATCTTATATTTTATATGCATTTTAACTGTACATATTTGTATTTATACACCTTCCAAACTGAGCCTTAATTGCAAAACTTTGATCTTATTTAATCTCATTTAAAATTTAGGAAAATTAATTTAATCAAATAATTATGAATCAGGGGCACAACATGGGTCAGGCTGGATTGAGAATTTGTTAAATTTTCAATGGACGCGAACCTTAACCCAAGCCTGATCTAGTTAAAATTGATTTCAGACAACCAGACTTGCAGCCCTATCTTGAGTTTATACTTCCATACTATGTAAGACAATTAATTTCATATTAAATATTTTAGTGATAGGGAAGTCATAACTCATAAAGCTTAACTACTGAAATATAGGGATCCGAGTCATGCCATATGGTCACATACTTCTTTGATTAATGCAAAAAAATTCTCAACTTTCAATTATATAAATGCTATACAGCTTCTAAATCATAATTCAAAGAATCAATCAAGTCTTTGAAATACACCATTTAATTTGGTGAAGTTGAGAATCATATAAATATTTAAATGCAATAAACAATTTTAGAACCAGAAAGTCTTCATTAAACACTTCATAGAAAAAATTTAAATCCTGGTTGTATTTCAGTTTTGAATTTTTTTTTCATTTAAATTTTAATTGTTAGAGATGTTTGATTGCTTAGTAGATATGATATTAGTATATTGCTTTTAAAAAAATGAAATCAATATATTAGTGAAAATTCCTGTGTCCATTTGTGATGCTGTGAATATACAAACTTATTTAAGGTTTAAAAAAAGAAAACAGTGAGATGACTCACTAAGTTCATAATCTGTGGGTACCCTTATATCTCACCTTTGCTAAAACACCTTTCTCCATCAACTAATTAAAATTATGATGATTCTATCCGTCTTTTTATTTCTTTTTTATTTTAATTTTTTAAGTTGATTTTTTTTTTATTTTAAACTTCAACTTTCTTATTACCAGTACAAGTGAGTATTGTTGTATTAGTGCTAGAAAATAATTCAATGCTTTGCAAAACTTTGCAAAGAAAAACCCAGATACCATCTGTCAACACATTTAAGGGTTCTTTTGATTTGTAGTCGGAATTGAAATTAAAATCAAAATTTTTTGGAATCAGAATTGGAATGATCTCTTTTTATAGTCTGTTTGATTCATACAATAATGGGAATAAGAATTGGAATCAGCAGGAATGAGATTTAATTTCCAAGAAAGGGGATAGGGAATGGCCATTCCCTCAAATGGGTATTACCATTCTATCAGAAATGGGAATGAGATTCCAATAATTCCGCTCAACCAAACAGTTGGAACCAGAACAATCCATTCCAATTCCCATTCCAGACCCCTATTCCTACAAACCAAACGGGGCCTAAGTTTTGCAATTTCCAAATGCTATCAAGTCATCATTCCATTGTTGCATCAAGACCAGTTGAGACCCAATGAAATTAATATATTAATCCAATGTTGTCAGACTTGGACCGATTGTAGAACCATTTTGATGATTGGATCACCGGTCGAAGGGTTCAGCCATCTGGTTCGATCATTTGATTTGTTCAAATAAGAAAGTACGAAAATTAAAAAAATAATAAAAATAATTACCTTTCTAAGCTATTTAACTATTACTGCAATATTGTTATATTAGTTATAGTATGGTCACTCCCACCAAACCAAAGAAAGAAATTCTTGTTTAATAACAAGTGGACTGTAAGGCACATGAAGGCTGTGATGAGCAGACATATAAAAGAATTTTAGATCATCATTTCTTTTTATTTTATTGAGTGTGAAGTCYGGATTTTCAGTCACCATTCACAAGATGCCGTTTTTTCATGTTTGCTTAATATCATTGGAACACAAAATAAAAGTCAGTCGGAAGATCCCAAACCATAAAACCATAACTGACTCGGGCAGTTGAACCGTTCAAACAGTTGAACGGTTAAGCCATTTGACTCAGTGAATGATTTTTTAATCAATTTTTTTATTTTTAAAAACATCACAGGCTGATCCATTTAGACCGAACAGTTAAACCATTAACCCACAAACCAGTGGTCAAAGCAATTCCATTTTCGGGTTGATTTTTGAAACCTTAATAGAAATTCAAAAGAAAAAGAAACCCAAAAAGAGGACAGTCATACCTTAACAAGAATAATCAATAACAGTATTGCAGATTCGGACGGGACCAGACTGAACAGATGAACTGGTGACCAAATGAGCCAATGGAGAGAAGGAGAGACAAGTTTTAGCTCAACCAGAAGCCTGGGCAGGACCAGACTGAACACTTGAACCGGTGACCAAATGAACCAACGGAGAGAGTAAGAGAGACCGGTTTTAGCTCAACCCGAAGTAATACCAACCCGCCCTGAATAATTGAAGAGAGTATATCAAACACCAACGGTCAGGCTTAGCACAGTTCAATCTTAACCCAACACCTGGTTAATGCTGAATCAATCCTAACCCAATAGTCGTTGGGTCAGTGTGATTGATCCAGTCTTATACATTGTTAGTTATGTTAATCTGAACCGGATTGGAGGTTGAACCGGTTCCACTGTCCCAAATGGAGAGAGAGAAAGAGAGAGAGGTTGTTGCCTTTTTGGTGCAAAAAGGTCAGAAATGCTAAAATACTACCCCCAGAAAAAAAGAATGACCCAATTCCGACCATGGTTAATTATGTCAASCAGAGAGGTTTGTGGTTTGGGAAATTTTCAAACCGGGGCTCCGCCTGTTTCTCTGGAGCCAAAGGAAACGAAATAAAGGGAAAAATAATCTTGAAAATGAATTCTGGAATGAAAAGGATATTGCATCATGTCATAAATTATAAAGTAGGCTGTACTGTCTACTGTGCCCCCTTTATTCTGTCTTATCTTTACATTTTAATATAGAAGCTAAGTCGATCTTTGGTACCCATTTGCTTGAATTGAGGGTATCCCAAACACACCTTTTCCCTTCAAATTACGTCACATGATTCCATTACCAAATTTAACCAAAAAAGGAAAGCAGAACCATACCACATCGAATTTTCTTCACAAAGGAAATAAAAAGGCGGGAGGGGGGGGGGNGGGGGGGAAGAAGGAATAAAGTTTGTATTTTTGTAGGGAGGGAGATAAAAAGGAAAAATTGTTCTAATTCTAGGCAAGGTTTAGAGTATCAACTTTTGGAATAGGCTGATACATAGAAGTCTAAGAACTAACGAATACCGATGCTTTGAGTAAGGCGATATGCGCCAAAATATCTGAAGCTTGATTCCTAGGTAACAGTTCTTCTTCCCTGGCTTTTCCCATCTAGTAAAAGATTTGAAGAAACTGGAGTGATAAGAGTGGAGATAGCATCAAGAGTTTGTTTGTTTTTTGGATTTTGAAAGGAGGAGAAAGTTGGTTAATAGGATTTTGGTTCTCATTGATCAAGATATTCATGTTCTTTTTCTAGATTTATGTGGTGTTTACGAATGATTTATTTTCTCGGGGTAAGTGATACTCATCTCTTAGGTGGGTAAATAACTTTCTCACGTAAGAGGAAAGTTGCCAATACTTGCATGAGACAAAATTGCCCCTTCTACTAATGATTTTTCATGACTAAAATGGTCATTGTCATATTTACCTAGGAAATAAAAGAATATGAATAAATACATTTACCCGGATAAGCAACTTCCTAGTAGAAAGTGAACGGGGCCCAAGATTGAAGTAGTGAAATCTAATCAAAGTACAATTTTTTTTTAATATCATATATACTAACTATGTTCTTCTTTTTGAGAAAGTGAGGATTGTTAACCATCATTCATGAACTCTTGCTTCAACAGTCACTGGCATATGTGCTGGGGAGACTCAGTTCCATGGTGTGGCCAATGGAGCCCTCTGGAGTTTGGATTTCTACCCCATGGGCTCAGGCTCTTATCCTTGAATTGAATGCTTTAGCATCTCCACCCACCCAAAAGAGATACGGTGCGATCTTGGGGTGGTACAGTCATCCACACCATCAGGTGGCTCGACCCCATCTTCGAGCCCACAAGGCCACAACCAGGGAAGAAAATTCACATGCTGCACGTGGAGGATCAGGCTGCTTTGACTCATAAGTGGTTCTTGGACATATTTGAGGTAGTTTTAAGTGAGTTTGGATCTGTTCCTCACAAAGCATGTCTCACACCAACCTCACAGTGCATCACAGCCGTGCATTGGGAACATCTTCCCATAAATGATAACATCATGTACGGCTGATGGTGTGAGGTACTGTGAGATTGGTGTGAGGTACGCTCTGTGAGGAGCAGATTCAATCTCGTTTTAAGTAAGGTTCAAAATATCGCAATGTATTAATATGTAACTATGTATCAATCCATTCATATCAGTTTCGGGGTCATTATGCTTGGGAGTTAGGTTATTTCATAACCTTGGTTTCAAATGTGGCTCCTTCTCCTTTGCTCTTTTGTATTAAGTTCTTTGAATTCTTGAAAATATGTTGAAATATGTTTTAAACACTCATAATTTAACTTTAACCATAACATGACAGTGAACAAAACACAATGGTGAAACAGGATTCATGTAGCTGACCCCATATGATTGGAACAATGTTTAAATGATTATGACGATTTGTCACATGTGGACCCTCTCCTTATTATTTTCTCCTTTGTTTTTTATACACATTCTCCTTATTTCCTCCTTAGCACAACAGTTGAGTTGCTCCATTGCGACTTGGGTGATCAAAACTCAAATCTTGGAAATAGCCTCTCTGTATGTATAAGGGTAAGGCTGTGTACATCTGTCCCTCTCCAGACCCGTATTGGTGGGATCCTCATGCACTGGGCTGCCCTTTTTTAGTCTCAGTTGGGAAGGAGTACAAATACAAATTTGTAGAGTACAAAACCTATAATTTTGTATGTATTTGCACAGTACATAATTGTATTTGTACTCTTTCCAAACTGAGCCTTAGCCACATGAGCAATCTCAACCATTGATTTCTTTCTAAAAACACGATCTTCTTCGTACATGTGGGCCTTCTCCCAGAAAAAAAAGGGGCTAATTAAAATTTAATTGAAAAGGTTGTTCATGTCCTTAAAACACAAATCAAACCTAGCCAAAGACTTCTTTACCCAACACTGTAAGTGAAAAGGAGGTATCAACTATCATGGGAGACAATGAGTTTAACTGCACCACCATTAAACCATATAAAGTATCAACCATTAGACTATTAGAGAAGTGTTATTAACTGATTTTAACATTATGGTTTGAATCCAGCTTGATCAGAACTGGCCTAGATCACAGTCCAATGCATTGACATCCTAACCCAAACAGCACCAGGCTGGGCTAACATTTCAGGCGCAAATCTTCGCAAGACCAAGTCTAGCAAAATCAACAAGCGTTACAGGCCAACATCATCACACCGAGTGCAGTACAGACAATGGTAGGCACTGGATTATCATGTCATATTTATACCAAGAGGGAGGACACCAGCAATAGCTCCATGAAAGGTAGCTCTGGTCATCCATTCCATGAGATTGGACAATGAAAACAAATGCTTTGATGTCCATGATCATCTTACCAGATGTATTTTCAGGCATGAAATGATGAGTTAGACCAGCTGAGCATGCACTTGATGTTCCCGCCATGGCACTGGTGTTTTTCTTGGTAGAAAGAACCATGGCATTGGTTGAGTATCCTTACAGTTACCATCCACAAGAGAAAAGCACAAGCATGAATTAAGAAATTAACCTGCATTAGCCTCAGGAACCATCTTTTGTTATCTCAATGAAAGCAGGTTATATAAGCATTACACAACAGCTCGTTAATAACCAGACTTAAAAGTGAAAGCGGGTATCCACACATCCTTTTTATGCCTTCTTAATAGCAACGGATCGTGCCTTCAAATTCAGAAATATTGCCCTAAGGTTGGAAAACACAAAAAAGGGGGAAAATTGGAACATGTTAGCAACTACTGGTACATAATGTGATTAAAATGCAAGCAATATACAGGACACATAACTGCATACAAAGAAGGAAAAATGAAGTACTCGACAGAATTAAACACATCGGTATATGGCACAAGCATGAGCCTAGCTTCTGTCAGACTTTTTCAAACATCAACTCCATGCCATAAGGGAATATGAATAGTACCCTTTGAGTTTATTAATAATTTAAAATGATAAAAAAAATCAGCACTCTTGGATTTTTCAAATCCAAAGGATCATCACAGTTTCTTTGCCTCAACCCCATGCTATCTATGTGAATTGCTTCATTATCTTATTTCATTTATAAGCAACATAGATGGGACCAATGATATTTATGTGAATTGTTGACTGATCAACTCTCACATATTTCCCATAAAGGCATATGTTCCCTCAACAGGCCTCATGCTGAATGATCTATGCAAACTTCACAGGTGCCTGCTTTTTTGTTATCATGCACCTTGGTTAGATTCTTCCAATCCTTTTGTCCTCTATTTACCATTGTAAGTTTTACTTTTATATATCTACTTTTGAAGGTATGCTTCCACTATGGTAATCAGTTGCATGACATATTTGGTTTTGAAACATATGCTGAATCAATCTTTACTATTTTCCTTACACTTTCCTTTTAGATAGGTAATCAAGTGAACCACTATCCTACCATCCAAAATGATATTCAAGTTGATAACAAAAGCCTGTCTGGATGCAAGGTGAAACAGATTCAGTTCACTTTCATTTCACATAGTATTTGAACCCCACACTGGTCATACAAAACAGTTCAATTTCCAGTTACAAGCAAAAAGTACAAAAAATAGTTCATTTATTTGAGATCTTGAAATGGAGTCATTCCTAATTGGAATTTTGTTAACAACCAACAATACTGCACTTTGGATGGTAAAAAGGAATACCATAATAAAAATGCTTCATTTAACATGGCATGCAGATAAAATTATAAGAGAATTTATGGATTAAATTGTGTATCAACAATAAGCTCTGTCAAGAGGATCTGTAATGACTAGTAACATTAAGTTACCTCACTTCTCTGTCACTAGTTCTATTTGATGAGATTCACCATCATCATCTAAACCTTGTCCCAACTATATGGGGCTGGCTACATGAATCCTGTTTTGCCATTTTGTTTTGTTTAGTGCAATATCCAATGTTATATTATGATTGCTTAAATAATTTCTTACTACTTCAACCAATGTCATTTTTGGTCTAACTCTAAACCTTCTAGCCCTTTCAACTTGCAACAGATTGTTTCTTCACATGGATGTTGTAGGTCTTCTATGCACATGACTAGACCATATTAGTCTATTTTCTCTCATTTTATCTCCTATTAGAGTTACTCCTAGGTTCCTAACCTAAGCAATCATGACTTCGATAACATTTCTACTTATTAATGCAGATGTCCTAGCAGATCTGTGGCATTCAATCTGTTTCTGTGGCTTTACACAAATCTTCTCTTCTTTGGAGGATACAACAGTCCAGAAATTCTCAAGGGCACAATTAGCAAATATCCGTATGAGCAACCCGGTAATGACCAATCCTTCCTTTCAATTCAATCAACCTTTTGGACTCCATTGTGTGACTCATTCAGTTATTTCAAACCCATTATTATCCTTAACAGATGCATACTAAAAACATATTTTATGACGTTACTGTAATCTGTAATAGAAAGCATATTATAAGGATTATAATGGCTTTTAATATTCACCCAAATATGCTAGAAAAAGCATCCAGTGTAAGCAACATTCGTAAATAATACAGGGTATTGCTTGGGATTGATTATACATCCATAAAGAATTGAAGCAAATAACTAAGGATGAAAAATCACTAAATTGAAAGAACTCATAGGTTATGTACCAGCATGAGGCAACAATGCTATGGAACAAGACGCGGAGTTGCAAGGGCATATACTGGTAGTTCACCCAAGCTACTATAGGCCAAAACTGCAAAGCATAGCCAAAAAGTCTTAGTGTTGTTATATCATTCATAAGTTTCTTTCTTGTGTCATCAATAAAGGATGGCTTAAAGTTATACCTTCCATGCAGTTAATTGGACAGAAGGGTARTCCTTCCGGACTTTATTCCTGACTAAGCTCCATGATCTTCCTACATGGCCAAAAAAAAGTTGGCATTAACAATCTATACCTTCTAAATGCAAGTATAATTGAACTATAAAGCCCTTTCTGAGCCAAAAAAAAGAGACAGTCTTCTAGATTTTCCTGATTAAATGTTATTATTAGTCATCCACATTTTGTGTCTAAAGAGGATACATTGTTTGTATAATCTTGTGTTATTCCTTTTTCTTACATTTACATTTATGACCTAGAGGGAAATCTTTGACAAAAACTTAACATTTGAATAAATATAGATTTTTATACAAGGTCTGAACTTCCAAAAGAAGGGAAGGTAGCAACTATTCTCTCATCAAACGAATTAATGCCTGGATAAGATCTTGCCTGAATGGGACTGGAATTCCAGGTGACATTTCTGAAGATGACTATGGAGAAATGAGAGTCAGAAAGAACAACCAGAATGTATAAACATGAAGTAACTGACTTAAAAATAAATCCATGACACTGTTAATATTTTTCAGCGAAAAAATAAAGCTTGAACAACTATACATGTGTGGAGAGAGAGAGAGAGAGAGAGAGTTCCATGAATGAAGAAAAAAGCATAAGGAGAGTGAGTGACATTATGATTAAATGTTCCCTAAATGGCCAAAAGCATAAAATCATATTAAAAAGATATCTATATTGAACTCCCTTAAAGTGTATAGTAATGGTGGAGACCGAACGGTCAAAAGGATCATTTTTCTCTCCATCAGATGCCAAATAAGCCTTGCAAATCAATAAGCTATAACCCACTTCCACCCAGCCACAGAAGATGGAAAATTATTGAAACTTAAAGTCTCTTCTGATGCTGTAAGAGAAGAGGAGAAGGAACAACTTCATGTGCAGAATATCATCAAACTTGAATTGCTCCAATAACCATAGAATGAGGTGGCATGCCACCAAATGTCCAAGAAGGTAATTTGAAGAGATATCATGGATTCATTCTTTAACTAGAGGCAGGCCGGGAACTCCCATTCTATGGATATCCAAAAAAGCTAACTATTCAATCAAATTCAAATAAACATGGACTTCCACAATTGTTATGTCAATCACAAAAGATCAACTAGAAGTATATACCTTCAACTATAAGGCCATAGTACATCATGAAGAACATATTGTTCCAAGGAGATGAGGTTAATTGTTCCAAAATCACCTGAAAAAAGTATAAAAAAAAAGACATAGTTTGCATCAATCTTAGGTCAAATGATCCAATACATGCTGCTGAACTTTGGTAACAGGAGCACATTTTGACATCATCAGAAAGACTTGTCATCAGTTTTAACCTTCTTAACAACTGTCTTGTTCCCCTTCTTTCCCTTAAAAATGATGTCCATCAGCTTGTGCAGGAAGTGCCCAAATGGCCCCGAGTATGCAAATCCATATAACTGCAAGTCAATTGGAAGTTAAAGAATATATGTTACATAAAGCAGAAAACTGGTAGAAACACACAGAAGGAGACTCTTAAGCTATGTTTGGTTTGAAGGAAAAAGTAGGGAAAGGAAGGGAAAGGCAAGGAAACCTTTACAAACTTTGTATAGGTTTTCATACCTTTCCCTACCTTTTCCTTCAAACCAAACATAGCCTTAAAGAATGGTTTATGAGTTCTTGAGAGTTAAATCACACATCATCGCCAATTTCAGTAAGCCATCTTTCACTACCGCAGTAATGAACCTGAGTTCGACCCTGGCACTAAATGTCAATTAGAGAATAAGTAATACAGAAGAGAATACCATTATAAGAAGTAATCTTCTTAATTGAGTCTTTTTTATTCCAGAAATCTTCTGAGCAATTGCATCACTACATCCAGCCAAGACCCCGGCAGTAAGTGCCTAATAACAAGTTATGAGAAAAAGAAAACCAATTCAGCGATCAAACCCAACAACCCAACACCATAGAGTTGTACAGAGAAAAAAAGAAGAAAAAGCAGAAAGATAAATTCAAATTGAAAGTTTCAGAAATAAGAAGCAAAATATGACGAAAGAAACCAAATTTTGGGCATACCTTTGTTCTGAGAGGGTGGAGTTGCAACTGTAGCAGATATTTATCCCAAGATTCTTTGATGATATCGGACATGGCTGGATCAAGAAGTGAGGGTCTGAACTTGGAAGAAACTGAGAGTAGAAACAGAATGAGAAGAATGAGAGATGGAGGGTCAAGTGTGGTGACCGGTGAGGAGTAKAGCAAAGGGAGGGAGAGAGGTAGCACGCCAATGTATGGTCAATGGAAATGGAGACTGACGACTAAATCAACATGGGAGAAAAACACAGAAGACTTTGTGAAGTCTACCTTCACCCATTGAAAACCCTGCAGAAATCCTCAGAAATTGAAACAGTATCAAACACCTGTGCAATTCAGCAATTGTTTAAGGGGCGAGTTTCAGGAAAGCATGTGATAAATTTATTCATCCGAGGACCCCATTTCCCTACAATGGGGTAGCTGAAAGCTGATACACGTGCATGGCCAAACAGTAAATAGTAAATACATCTCCACCAATTCATTGAAAGAGAATCTGGCCAGTGGGTTGATCTTATCAGATGGCCACATAGTTGTTGAGTTGTGGGTCCAGTACGTGCAGAGGCTGTTGGATTGGGATATCTTTTCGTGTGAAGATGAATGATAAGTCTGCTACATTGGGTCCAGTAGGAACTCTTTCAAAAGTGGTTGGGTACTTGGGTTTGTGGGCCGGGGTTACAATTACATCACTACTGGCCCAATTGAAGGACAAAGACAGAAAGGCTTTGGTAAATCAAACTGTTAGTGAAATGCTGAGTGAGAGGTCATTTGATGTTGATGCTTTAATGGGGAGCAACTGGGTCCCGGCCCCTACCGTTAATGGAAGGGTAAATTACACTCACATCCCCCTATGACCCATCTTCTAAAAATTAATTTTGACCTCTTTTAATTCTTCATCCTGTTATCTCATCAATAGAAAATACAAAATAATATCAGTGTGTTCAATTGATTAGAAATAATAATAATAACTTCTTGGGTTATTATTATTCATCAAAACTTAGGCAACTTCTATTCATTTTCTTTTGAGTTCTCAGGCAACTTCTATTCATCAAAACTTAGGCTGAGGCATGGATAAGAAATGAGAATGAAGAATAGTCCTCCACTCCAGATGACAAAGATGGCACACGCACACTTTCCTTTGTTTCCAAACCCCACTTCTTGGGTTTGGCTTTAATTTGTAAAAATTTGAATATGGAAGGTGGTCTGAGCCTAAACTCAAAGCAGTGTAAAATGATAATTCGGATCGGATCGAGCCGACCCGATTTGAACCCCATGATGTCAAATGGATCAGGTTAGGTGGACCACCAGACGAGATGAGGAGGAGAAGGAACTGCTTCTTTCTCTGCACCATCCATTTAGTACAGCTTAGGGGGCAGGAGCCTCGTTGCTGATTCCCCCACCAACTCCAACTCACTCACCGATCATATTCTGGCGGCAACAATATTATAACCGGGGTATTACCAATTACCATCTTTAAAATCATTAAGCTTAGGCAATTTTGACCAATTAATAATAGGTGGGTCAGTTTCAAGAAATTGGATCTAGACTCTACCCACTAACAAATTGAGTAGGATTGATTAATTCGGATTAGCTAAACAGTAAACATAATAGATGTTCCACAGCCTGTGTAGCCAATGCTAATGCATGTGGCCTACAATAAGAAATTAAAAAATCACATTTCATGTGACCACCTGTTACAAGACAAACCCAAGAGACTCGGGTGATTTTTTGACACATTAGTGCTTTAATCAAATACCAGTTTGATGTGATATTTTCAGGGTGTTAGTGGGCGTTTATTCAATAAATGCTGCTATATAGGCGTCACTTCAGTAGTTTCTCTCTCTTACTCTTTTGTATACATCAAGAATGACAAAAGTGGACTTCGGTTTTTATACACCTCAACTGTTTGTAGAAGTTTTTTTTTTTTAACTTTCACAAATAGTTAGGTATTTTTTCACTGTTACGCTGATGTGGAGCCTAGTGGCGCTTAGTGGCAACTAATTGTCATAAACGATTGYAATTATTACTTTTCTCAATTTTATCAGCAAATAAAGTATAAATATTTATTCAATAAACGTAAATGGAATGAAACACATATTTTGTCTTTTTCATCAAACACTGGTGTGTTAAAAAATCACTAGGGGTCTTGGGTTTGTCCTGTGACAGAACCTAATCTCAATTAAATAGTTGTGGGTTTAAGTATTTTATTACTAATGTAGAGAGTTAGAGTTATCATTGGTTCCACAGCTTGTTGAACAGTTATTGCATTCAGCTAATCCTTACTTGGGTGCAACTTGGGTGGGCTAGGTCAGGTTGAGGGTCAACCCAATCACAACCCTAAAGGTACAAAACTTGAGTTCAAGCCCAGGCCAACCCAAGGTCAAACCCTAATTTATCAACCCGGCCCAACCCAAGGTCAAACCCTAATTTATCAACACAAGCCCAATCTTAAAGGTACAAAACTTGGGCTCAAGCCTGGGCCAATCCAAGGTTAAACCCTAATTTATCAACCCGGGCCAACCCAAGGTTATACCCTAATTTGTCAATCCAAGCCCAACCTTAAAGGTACAAAACTTAGTCTCAAACTTGGGTCAACCCAAGGTCAAACCCTAATTTATCAACCCGGGCCAACCCAAGGTTATACCCTAATTTATCAACCTAAACCCAACCTTAAAGGTACAAAACTCAGGCTCAAACTTGGAACAACCCAAGGTCAAACCCTAATTTATCAACCCGAGCCAATCCAAGGTCAACCTTGGTTTGAAGGAAAAAGTAAGGAAAGGAAAGGAAATGTAGGGAAACCTTTACAAGCGTAGCTTGTATGGGTTTTCTTACCTTTTCCTTTAAACCAAACATAGCCTAAAGGTATAAAACTTGGGCTCAAGTATGGACCAACCCAAGGTCAAACCCTAATTTATCAACTCGGGCCAACCCTAAAGGTACGAAACTTGGGGTCAAGCCTGGGCCAACCCAAGGTCAAACCCTAATTTATCAACCCGGGCCAACCCTAAAGGTACAAAACTTGGGGTCAAGCCTNAAACTTGGGGTCAAGCCTGGGCCAACCCAAGGTCAAACCCTAATTTATCAACCCGGGCCAACCCTAAAGGTACAAAACTTGGGGTCAAGCCTAGGCCAACCCAAGCTTAACCGAATTTAACCCTACATAATTCAAGCTAGTCTTGGACTCAAGTTGGATCAAGCTATGTTTAGTCAAGCTTGGGGAGGATAGTTGGGTTTGAAAGAATTTTATGAATATATTTTATGTATAGTTATTTATTATTGGATTGAAGTAGAATTGACTGAAAATATGTAAAAATTCATTTAAAAATGTATATATAGTTAGAAAAAATATATTTTCATATAAAATAATACAAAGGTCAGGGTCATTTTTTTTGACTCACCCCCAACCCACAACCCTACACTTGGCAAAAATTTGAGTTGGATTGGTTCACAACTTTAATAAACAGAACGAAATATATATATATATATATATATATATATATATATATATATATATAGTCAGACACGTGGTCTTCTTATATTCAGACAATTGTCCTTCCAATAAGAAAAACCACTAAGTTGCAAATTCAAAAACTCACCACCACGCAACGAGAAGCTCCAACTCTCAATCCCTTCCTAAAAAAATGAAAAGTGGAGATATTGCAATTCATTTCACCGAAATAGAAGGAGGTATTTGCGACAGTTCTATATGCTCAAAATTGGCGACTGAGGGGAGCATGGAGGAGTGGAGAATGGCCTCTATTCCAGCGATGGAGAATGGTGGTTAGACTGGATGGGAAGGTGGCTGATCGGGGAGGAATTTTACAGGATATAATGGCCTATGTTCCAGCGATGGAAAGGGTTGTTCTCTGACTTTTTGGTGAAAATGCAACAGTGTTAGATCTGGGTAGCCGATGTGAGAATCTATTCAAAGCTGCTACTAGAGAGGGAGTAGCAACGGTAGAAAATTGGAATCCGTACTGTAACGAGGTGGAAGTAGACTATGTGAATCCATTAGCCTGAAATTAGTGAGACTCCCATTCAATCTTTGGATAGAGGAGTTTTTTATCCAGATTGCAGCATTGTGTGGAGGCTCCTTACTAGATTACGGGTTCGTGCGTAGTACTACTCTCACACACACTCTCTCTCTCTGGGGTTTACCTAAGGTTTAAAGATTTCTCAACTGGATTCTGGAATTTCAGGTTGAGTAATTTCTTTTAATTTGTGCTGTTAATTCTATTGTTACTCATGTCGGTTTCTATTGAATGTTTCTAACCATGCGATGAAAATCATTGAGAGTGGAGTGCTTTGGTCTCACCTCAGAAAAGTTTCTTCATACTCTTCCGATGGTATGTTTATGTGTTACTCTTTACATTTTCGTTGGAGTCCGTGATTTTTCATCACATAGACCTGGAACCAGAACACAGTTTTGCCATCTAATATATGATACACTAACCTACTTTCCCATAAAGACTGTATTTGCTTCCCTCTAAAAGGATCAAAATATTAAATTAAATGAGGTTTTACAGATTGAAAAAAAAAAAAAAACCTTTATTATGAAACTGATAGAGTCCATAGAGAAATATAATAATTTTTTATACTATTTCTTATTGTTCTTTGATTTTTAATATATTTAATAAATTTCTTTTAATTTGTTGATTTTGGGTAATGTTTGAGAATAAGGGCGACTTTAGAAGAAGATCGAAGCTGAAGGCTTCTAAAATAGTTGAGGAGGTCGGATTTAGTGATGGAAAGAATGAGAAAGAAGCAGGTAGCAGTGATAATTATTGGAGAATAGGATCATTGAAACTTGGAGGAGAAGCTCTAAGGTGCATTCAAAGATACTGTATTTAGAATATTATTTGCCACCACTCAGTTTTATTTAGTTTGATGTTGGGTTATAGGTAAATTCGTTCCTAAGATACAATAGAGCCTTGAACAAGAATCTGCAACTAGCAAAATTGAAGAGTCTCCGAAGAAACCTTCTGTGAGACTGTAGTAGACCGGATTGAGAGAGAGAGAAAGAAAGTGATTTTCGAAAATGTTGTATTTGAAAGCTTGATTCACTCTCCTTAAATAGTTTGTTATGTAGAAGAGGAAGGTGCTGGTTCAGAGAAATGACTGTTTAATAGTTAATGACTGTTTAATAGTTAATGACTGTTAACTTTGAATTGTGTCTCTTGATCACAATCATGATTATTGACACATCAACGGTTAGCATCACACCAAAAAACCAAACCCACCATTCGCAAACAAAGTGTGCCTCATTGCACCGCACACACACACGCACATGTCTACAAATGCGTTGCACGATAGCAAGCCTCCATACTCTCATCTTCTAT